AGACCAGATCAGAACGAAACCAACCTGAGGTCAGTTCATCCCGACGCCGCGTCCGTCTGCCCGACACTTTTTATATTTAAGACGAAAATTGGTCTGAAAACTCAAATTCAAACTCATTCAAATGAAACTGGAAATCAGGAGACTGAAGATCAAACTAGAACTGAACCAGGACTAGACCAGGACTAGACCAGAACTAAACCAGGACTAGACCAGGACTAAACCAGGACTAGACCAGGACTAAACCAGGACTAAACCAGGACTAAACCAGGACTAAACCAGGACTAAACCAGGACTAAACCAGGACTAGACCAGGACTAAACCAGGACTAAACCAGGACTAAACCAGGACTAAACCAGGACTAAACCAGGACTAGGAACCAGGACTAACCAGGACTAAACCAGGACTAAACCAGGACTAAACCAGGATTAAACCAGGACTAAACCAGGTCTAAACCAGAACTAGACCAGGACTAAACCAGGATTAAACCAGGACTAAACCAGGACTAAACCAGGATTAAACCAGGACTAAACCAGGACTAAACCAGGTCTAAACCAGGACTGAACCAGGATTAAACCAGGACTAAACCAGGTCTAAACCAGGACTGAACCAGGACTAAAACTAAACCAGGACTAAACCAGGTCTAAACCAGGACTAAACCAGGACTAAACCAGGACTAAACCAGGACTAAACCAGGACTAAACCAGGACTAAACCAGGACTAAACCAGGACTGAACCAGGATTAAACCAGACTAAACCAGGATTAAACCAGAACTAAACCAGGACTAAACCAGGATTAAACCAGGTCTAAACCAGGATTAAACCAGAACTAAACCAGGACTAAACCAGGACTAAACCAGGACTAAACCAGGACTAAACCAGGTCTAAACCAGGACTGAACCAGGACTAAACCAGGACTAAACCAGGACTAAACCAGGACTAAACCAGGTCTAAACCAGGACTAAACCAGGACTAAACCAGGACTAAACCAGGACTAAACCAGGACTAAACCAGGACTAAACCAGGACTAAACCAGGACTAAACCAGGATTAAACCAGGACTAAACCAGGACTAAACCAGGACTAAACCAGAACTAAACCAGGACTAAACCAGGACTAAACCAGGACTAAACCAGGACTAAACCAGGACTAAACCAGGACTAAACCAGGACTTTCAGTGTTTTACAAAGCCGTCATTTTAAACACTTCTCATTTTTACCTGGAAATATAAACAAATGTTTTGTCTAAAGTTCATCTAAAATAAATAAAAGTTTAATTTGATCCACATTAAAGTGTGACGACCACGTGATCCTGCTGCTCCGACTGAGCCAAACACACAGAGAAGAATCAGGTTTTATTTTAAGTTGAGGTCGACACACGACAGAATTTTTTGGTTTTAAACAATTTTGAAATGTGCGACAAAAAGCTCAGAGCACAAACACGAAGAGAATCTGAAGAGATTTGAAATCCCAGAGACGTCAGTGGGTCTGTGTGTGTGGAGCACAGGACATAAACCTGCGAGCGCTGGGAGTTTTATTTATTTCATCTTTTACTGCAGTATTTGGAAATGAAAATGTATTTTGTTTTAAAAGTTTTATATTTAGCTCAGGACAGAACGTTAAATCATTTTTCATTACCGTGGAAATAAACCGTGTTTCTGGATCTATGATCAAAACGAGTTCAACCTAATTCAGTCAAACGGTCTGATTGGAGTCGAGTCTGCGTCACCTCCTCTTCACACGGCGTCTGTGTCGACCGACGAGCTCCTCACAAATGTTCTAACTGCACGTTGATCCATCACAGACAGCGGGGACGTGACCGTGGAGTCTGTGATTGGTCGTCTTTACAAACATCTCCAGTGCTCCACTTTCCCACTTCACTTTGTTACAGTTTGTACAGTTTTAAATCCTCGCCTCAAAAACGACGGCAAAAAGACGACGGGGGCAGAGTGAGACGAGTCAAGGCAGAACTATGAAACAGACTTTAAACCGCCTCTGTCCAGACTCCACACAGACGGGTGGACGCTCCAGGGTCTGCAGCTCCGGGAGTTTGGGTCCAGACAGAATTCTCCCACAGAGGCACAATGCATTTTGGGAAATGAACCTGCCCGTCTTCTTCAGAGCGTCCGGCTTCACAAAGGTCAGATTTTAAAGGATTCTTTTCTATTTTCACAACAGAAACTTTTTCAAATGTTTAACTCCTCAAACCTCCTGAAGCCTCGCTGTTCTGAGCCGCTCTGATTGGTCCAGTGGCTCCACTTCGTGCACGTTACAGACGTCACGGAGGAGCTCGCCCAGACTGAGGGAGTAAATGTGTAAGAGCAAATTATTTTTAGGCCCATGAGCCGATGAGCAGAGACGCCTGACAACAACACGACACATCTTGGGTTCCACTTCAGATTTGATTCCAGTTCTGTGCGTGAAACTCGCTCGGGAAGTTTAATAATAACATCTATTTTGGTTTATTATAGCTCCATGATCACGGCTGGTGAATACTTGTATCTATATAATATTTATCTGAACGATAAAGGTCGTTTTATAGTTCTGTGAAGACTTATCAAGTAATTCACCACCACAACACTTAGTCTACGTTCAGACTGCAGGGTTTAATGCGTAATTCTGATTTTTTTGTGAAATCCGATGTTTTTTCGAGGTCGTTCACATTTCCAGTTAAATGTGACTTGTATGTGACTCCAGTGTGAACATTAAACGGTCCAAAAGTGTCCCACATGTGACACTGGAGACACGACGACGTCAACCGCAGCGAGCGTCTCTGTGTTTACACAAGTTGAACAAACATGGACGCAGCATCGAGCACCTGGAGATTTTAAAGTTCCTCTCGTACCGGAGCCACAACATGAACAACTGACTTGTTTTAAGGAGGAGATTGAGAAGGAGAAGGAGCAGGTTTTTGGTCGTGGTGTTTTGTGGTGAGTGGAGATGTGCTTCGAGTTCATGAACAGTTTTCTCCTACTTCAGTGCAGAATAGTGACGTTTGTGTCTTGTTGATGACGTGTAGGTGGATGAATGTGACCTGACCGTTCACACTGAAGTCACATGTTAAAGATCAGATATGGATCAGTTTCAGGAGCACAGATCCAAGTGTCCTGGGTCATGTTTGAAAACATCGGATCTGTGTGGTTCAGACTGACAATAAAAGATCAGATACAGGAACATAGAGACAAAAAATCAGATGTGGGTCACTTCAGGTGCATCTGAACACAGACTAAGAGGCGAGGATTGAAAACTGACGTACAAACTGTTTACAAAATGAAGCGGGAAAGTGGAGAACCAGAAACGTGAGTAGAGCTGATGTAGAGACGACCAGTCACAGACCTGATTCACTGCGTCGGGTCGACACGTAGTTAGAAAATTTGAGAGGTTCACGTCGGTCGAATCAGACGCACGATCATAAATTGGGCTTAAGTTTAGTATTTAAATGATCTTCAAGTCTCCGCTGGTCAAACGTCCGACTCAGCGAACGTCACAATCCTGAGTTCTGTTGGTAAAATGAACATTTGTGTGGTGAAACAAGAGCAAAATAAAAGTAAATTCTAGACCTACTGCAACGGACTTTTTAATGAATTAAATGGAATAAAAATGCATCAAAGTTACTATTATTATTATTATTATTATTATTATTATTATTAGGCTACGAGCAGTGTCGGGGAGTAACAGATTACATGTACCAGAGTAATCAGAGTACAAATGATGAGTAACTGTATTCAGTTACAGTTACTGTTTCAGTGAGTGGGAATTGGATTACAGTTACTTTGTTCAAATAAATGGACACAGAGGGATTTAACTGTTTTTACATTTTGGATGAACTTTTTTTTTTTTTTTTTTTTTTTTTGGTTTTCCACTTTTTTTTTTTTCTAATCAGGACTTGGACTAAACCAGGACTAAAACTAACCAGGTCTAAACCAGGACTAAACCAGGACTAAACCAGGACTAAACCAGTCTAAACCAGGACTAAAACCAGGACTAAACCAGGACTAAACAGACTAAACCAGATCTAAACCAGGTCTAAACCAGGACTAAAACCAGGTCTAAACCAGGACTAAAACCAGGACTAAACCAGGACTAAAACCAGGTCTAAAGGACTAAACCAGGACTAAACCAGGACTAAACCAGACTAAACCAGGACTAAAACTAAACCTAAACCAGGTCTAAACCAGGATAAACCAGGTCTAAACCAGGACTAAACCAGGACTAAAACCAGGACTAAAACCAGGACTAAAACCAGGTCCAAACTAGATCTAAACCAGGTCTAAACCAGGACTAAACCAGGTCTAAACCAGGACTAAAACCAGGTTTAAACTAGATCTAAACTAGATCTAAACCAGGACTAAACCAGGACTAAAACCAGGACCAAAACCAGGTTTAAACTAGATGTAAACTAGATCTAAACCAGGTCTAAAACTGGACTAAATCCTGCTGTGTGGACGTGTTTCTTCTTCTTCTATCAATAATATTTTTAATTTGGTTCAGTAAAGTCTGGACTTTTTATTTTCTTTTATCAGACAAAACTTCTTATGTTACGATTTCCTCGTCTTTGTTTCTCTACAACAAATCAAGTAATCCAAAGTAATCAGATTACATTACTCACTTTAAGTAATTTAATGGATTCTGTTACAAACTACATTTTGGTGTGTGTAATCTGTAATCTGTAGGGGATTACATTTTAAAAGTAAACTTCCCAACACTGTCTACGAGTTGATATTGAATAAATGAAGAGGATTGAACGTTTCGTGGAGCATCGTTCACCGCGACAAAAAGCGAAACACTCGATGAATAATTCCTGCTGAGGGGAGAGAAAAGTTATTTAAACACAAAATTGACTGAAATTAAACAAAATCAGTCTCACACAGAGGAGGTAAACACGTGTGGGCTTTATTTACGTTTTTATTTACACGTTCGGTTCATTTGTTTTCAGGCGAACGACGGGGGAAAAGAGCCAGAAGAGACAGAAGCGACAGAGCGAGAGGGGGGGGGCGGGGCTTACCTTCCTGAGCCTGAGCCAATGAGAGCAGCAGAAGAGCCACGAGACCCGCCCACAGACACCTCATCTTCAGCCAATCACGGGGCCCCAAGCCAGCCGTCAAACACCTGGGCCAATCAGAGACCGGGGTCAGTTCAAAGCGGCCAATCGCGGACGAGGACTGAGGATTTGAAAAAGTCCCTCCTCAAAATAGTGATTTAAAGAGGAGGATTTGACTTCTCTGACATTTCAAACTACAAAGACCATGATGCTTTGCTCTTTCGTGTCTTGGGCCTTAAAATCACAAGATGTTTTAATGTATTTATTTTTTTTATTTTAGGAGAGTCTGAATCAGCTCCAGAAAAGTGACCGAATCAAACGTTTAAACAGCTGTGAGACGCATCAACAAAGCACCACACGAGACCCGGTTTAGTCCTGGTTCAGTCCTGGTTTAGACCTGGTTTAGTCCTGGTTTTAGTCCTGGTTTAGCCCTGGTTCAGTCCTGGTTCAATCCTGGTTTAGACCTGGTTTTAGTCCCAGTCCAGCTCCTCGTCTGGTGAAGCCACAGCCATAAAAATGAGACAAAGCTCATAAAAATTCCAAAGATTTCTCCAAAACGTCCAGATTTGAACCAGGATTGAACCAGGACTAAACCAGGACTAAACCAGGACTAAACCAGGACTAAACCAGGACTAAACCAGGACTAAACCAGGACTAAACCAGGACTAAACCAGGACTAAACCTGGACTAAACCAGGACTAAACCAGGACTAAACCAGGACTAAACCTGGACTAAAACCAGGACTAAAACCAGGACTAAACCAGGACTAAACCAGGACTAAACCAGGACTAAACCTAAACCTGGACTAAAACCAGGACTCTAAACCAGGACTAAACCAGGACTAAACCAGGACCCTAAACCAGGACTAAACCTGGACTAAACCAGGACTAAACCAGGACTAAACCTGGACTAAACCAGGACTAAACCCGACTAAACCAGGTCTAAACCAGGGACTAAACCAGGACTAAAACTAAACCGGACTAAACCCGGACTAAACCCGGACTAAACCCGGACTAAACCCGGACTAAACCAGGACTAAATCAGAACTAAATCATTTACTAAAACAGGACTTAACCAGAACTAAACCTGGACTAAACCAGGTCTAAACCAGGTCTAAACCAGGTCTAAAACAGGACTAAAACAGGACTAAACCAGGACTAAATTATTTCTGAAGCAAGACTGAGCCAGGACTAAAATGGGATTAAACCAGGTCTAAACCTGGACTAAACCAGGACTAATCCAGGTCTAAACCAGGACTAATCCAGGTCTAAACCAGGACTAATCCAGGTCTTTCTCCGCAGTGGAACAGATGAGCTCAGATTTGACTGGAATCACTTTTTTACAGATTTGGACCAAATTCAGGAAACAGTTTGTTTTAGTGAATCAACAGGAAAAAATCCACACACACACACACACACACACACACAGAACACACACACAGAACACACACACGTGACCGGGACCAGGACTAGACCTGACTCAAACCAGGACCGGAACTAGACCAGGACTAAAACCAGGACTTTAAAAACCCTCACAGTAAAATCATGAGGTCGTGTTTGAGGAATCATTAAATCCGTCCGAGTTCTTCTTCTTCTTTGGGGTCGGGTCTGGTCCAGTTGGGGTCTGGTCCGGTCGGGGTCGGGTCCGGTCCGGTCAGGGTCGGGTCTCGGGGGCTTCAGTCTGAGCAGAGACTCCCGGACTTCCTTCAGCCCAGACGCTTCCTCCAGCTCCTCCAGTGGGACCCTGAGGTTTTCCCAGACCAGAACAAACCCGACCAAAAACATGCTCCAGGTCAATTAAACACGATAAACCAGGACTAAACCAGGACTAAACCAGGACTAAACCAGGACTAAACCAGGACTGAACCAGGATAAAACCACGACTAAACCAGGACTGAACCAGGATTAAACCAGGTCTAAACCAGGACTAAGCAAGGACTAAACCAGAACTAGATAAGGACCAAACCAGGACTAAACCAGGACTAAACCAGAACTAAACCAGGACTAAGCAAGGACTAAACCAGGACTAAACCAGAACTAAACCAGGACTAAACCAGAACTAAACCAGAACTAGATAAGGACCAAACCAGGACTAAACCAGGACTAAGCAAGGACTAAATCAGGACTAAACCAAGACGGAACCAGGACTAAAACCAGGTCTAAACTATGTCTCAAACAGGACTTAACAGGACTAAATCCTGCTGTGTGGACGTGTTTCTTCTTCTTCTGTCAATAATATTTTTAATTTGATTCAGTAAAGTTTGGACTTTTTATTTTCTTTTATCAGATAAAACTTCTTATGTGAAGATTTCCTCGTCTTTGTTTCTCTACAACAAATCAAGTATCCAAAGTAATCAGATTACGTTACTCACTTTAAGTAATTTAATGGATTCTGTTACAAACTACATTCTGGTGTGTGTAATCTGTAATCTGTAGGGGATTACATTTTAAAAGTAAACTTCCCGACACTGTCTACATCAGAGTATCAGAGTTTTCAGACTCAGTCCCCGTCACGTCTGGACCAACAGGAGCTCGTGGAGCTGGAGGCACCAGATCGTTCAGACTCTGGAGACGTTTTCTGTCAGATTAATGTGAACAAACCAGAACCAGAACCAGAACCACTCAAATATGTACTAATGTTGGAGACGTATGGAGACACTTTTATTTAAATATTCCATCCAGTCCTTGTATTTGCAGAGGTCGTCATATTTATCCTGTCACTAAAAACAGTCTTATCCACTCCACAAAACACCCTAAAAAAAACTATTATCACAGCAGACAGAAGTAAACAACAAGGCCAAAAACTCAAGTTAATTCATCTGATATAAAAATGTATTGAACAGATACATATGTACTCGAGTTTATCAAACTGTTCACCTTTTTTCTGTTCCATTTTTGGTTCTAAAGTTCCATCTGTTTTAAACAGACATGAATGAAACATGGAACAAAAATTATTTCCCAAATTTCAAAGAACCTGAAAATCATGTAAATAAAATGTTTGTATTTCATCATATCTTGTGTTATTCCATCTTTGAACTGTTGATGAAGGGGACAGGATTTAAAAAAAAAAGTATTTAAAATGATAAAAAATGTTCTTGGAAGGACTGACATATTTTATAGAAATAGTTTTTTCATTTTGAAGTAATATTAAAATATTCAGAAGAAAAAAGCCACAAATGATGTAAAATCCTGCACCTTCTACTTGTTTGTACAATTTTCCCTCCGTTACTTTTCCCTCCTTACCATGAACTTTCTTAATAAAAAATCTCATGAGTCAAAAAGTCAGAGGTTTCAACCTAATCTTGTACCATATGGTAGAAAACTATATGAAGCAATATTCAAACCAGTTTGTTAAGGATATGGAAGTGAGAACCAAGAGTTATCACTGTTTGGATTTATTGACCAAAAAGTGCTGCATATTTCATTCCCTCCGTTACCGACATGAGTTTTTTTAATTTTTGTCTTGAACTTGAAAGAATCTCACAGGTTTAACTTGACCCCTGTTGGAGTGTAACTCTTTCCTACATTCTGATACTTTACTTATTTCAATAGTTCCTCTAGTTTCTGAATAAGAGACATTTGAATGTCAAAAATCTGCCCTGTTTCCCTCCGTTACACCTCGACCGGACCCTCATGTACCGTATTTTCTGCATATTAAATGGTTTCACTCACGGTGTTATGTGGGTGATGCGGCGACTCAGTTGTGTAAGAAGCGGCATTTCGCTTCTCGTCGTCTGGCAGTTGAGGATGTTTGCTGTGTTGTCTGCTTGTGCTTTGTGTAGTTTACTGAAGTCGCGCTGGGATTGTGGCACGCGGTCGTTTTTTGATGCAGTAAGAAGATTAAGAGAGCGTCTAATAGCCCGGGAAAATACGATAAATGTCTGTGTCGATAGAATCATGTTTGAAATAAAACCAACCTTGCGTCGCATGTATCGTCGCATGTTGAGGGACTATTTTCTCATATATCAGTCCGCCGCTGCCGAGCTTTTATCAGGAACTCACTGCTGCGGCTCAGACACAAATCCTTCAAATGTAAGATTGGTTTTACTTCTACAATGATTCTATGGACACAGACATTGACATGGACAGTCTGGTGGAATAATTGTTTCATTTCGAGTGTTTTGTGGAGTGGTTAAGAGTGTTTTTAGTGACAGGCTAACTATGGCCATTGACATGCACTAGCCTAGCACCAGCGACCTGCAAACACTAGGACTGGATGGAATATTTCAAGAAAAGTGTCTCCAACACTCTGGATCACGAGGAAATGAGGTGATATGAACAAAATTCCAGACTGTCCCTTTAAGTTTTGTTCTTTCTTCTCTTGATCGTTGTGGATAAATAGTTCATGTTAGAATGTTTATCTTTTGCAGAGTTTGTTGGTTGAAGATTTGGCGAAGCTGCTGGAGAATCCGCGGGGCTGTAACGATATCCAAGTCTCACGATACGATATCGTCGCGGTAGGAACCTCACGGTACGATATTTATTGCGATATTGTGGGAAAGTAAAAACTCTCAGTACGATAGTTTCACGATATACATCTTTTTTTTTTTTTTTTATTGGATAATTTGCGGCAAACAAAAACAAAACATAAACCACGACTACATGGGTCATGACAGGAAGAGTCCGAACTGAAACAAAAAGCACCAAACACATGAACAACAAATTTACATTCACAACTCCACTCAGTGGACATAAAAATAAACGAAATATAAATTAAAACCAACAAAACTCAGCTCTGTGTTTTACAAAACAACAGTCTATATCAGGGGTGTCAAACATACGGCCCGGGGGCCAGATCCGGCCCTCCAAGACCTTTAATCTGGCCCTCGGCTGATTTTCTACTAAAATATTGTAATGATATTTTCTATTAAAATCTTGTTAATTTTGTGTGGTGTTTATCACAGCAGCGTCTCCAGCGTCTCTGTACGTGGCCCCTCCCACCAGAGCAGCACAAATGAAGACTTGTCTCTTTCCAAACGCTCTTAAAGGACGATCGTTTTGACTGTTGACCGTGACACCCTCATCAGAAAAATGTCCAACATGAGAAAAGTGGAGCCGAGTGCAGGATTTTACAACAAAAATGGACTTATTCCTATTTAAAACTTTGTGTTGAAATTGTATTTTTCTTAAAGTTTCAGGTTGTTCATAATATTATAATATTTTGTAAAAGAAAGAGTTCATCAATTAAAAAAGATTTGTGTAATAGATTTGTGTTTCTCTGCACAAATATTTGAACTTATTGTTATTTTTGGGGTTTATATGACATGAGTTTTCTGATCCGGACACTTTGGGATCAGTCGGTTGGACACGACCCCCGGAACAAAATGAGTTTGACTCTCCTGGTTTATATTCTTTTTGAAAGGTTTCGACAGTGTTGGACTGTTTAAAGTCATTGCTCCGATTATTTTACAAACCAAAATCTCTACCAGAAACACAATCACTTTCTTCCTCGTTCTTTTTTTTTACGGTCGTACAAAGGAATAATAATGTTAACAAAGGTGAAAAAGTTTATCGTTTATGATCATGCGAAATAAACTACAATGAGAATTTAAAAAAAATAAATAAATACATCTGACTGTACGATATTTATTAGGATATTTTGTGGAGTCTAAACAGCTCAAACTGTGAATATTCAACTTTTTCCTCTTAAAATTCCTTGACAAGACTTGTTAGAACTGTTATTTCTTCTTGTAGTTCTTCTTGTCACTGAAATGGAGCAAAGGATCATGGTCTATGTAGTTCCTCTGTAGTTTTTTTAGCTTTGTAACTCTTCATTTAAGCAAAGAGACTTGTGATTCGATATTATTGTGAGAACTTCGACGATATCACCGCATTTTCAGCATTTACACACAACGGCGGACGGCAAGTGCAAAACACTTTTACATTACACAACGCACGTGAACAACTTTGAAAACAAAATTACGTTCGCAAATGTGCAGACAAATTCACAAAACACGAAACACTTGTACAAGCGCCGAGACAAATGTACGAAACACAAATACAAAGTTCCGAAAATCACAGACCTTTTTCACGCAACGAAACGGAACAGTTGACGCTTTTCTGTGGCAAAATCTTCCAAATCTTCATCCAATAAGGTCCACAGAGGAGAAATTCTGTCCATGAAGAATTTATCCACAACTATGGGGGGGAAGAAAGACGAAAACGTAAAGGCGAACGACAACGACGACGACGACGACCACGACGACAACAATGACAACGACGACGACGACGACGCATTACCGAACCTTATGGTCATTCGTCATTTCCACTTTTCAGGACGTTCCCTTTCCGTCAGTAAACTTTCTTGTTCATTTGTTTCGGGGGTTTGTGTTTGTGGTTTGTGTTCTGTAAATTTGTTTTCTCATTTGCAAATGTGTTTTATGAAACGTAAATTTGTTTTCAAGATGTAAATGTGTGTTTTAAATGTCATTTTGTTTTCAAAACTTCTTAATGTGTGTTGTGAACAGTAGTAATAGTAGTAGTCGTAGTAGTAGTAGAAGTTTTGTTAGTAGTAGTAGTTTTGTTAGTAGGAGAAGTAGTAGTAGTAGTAGTAATAGTAGTAGTAGTAATAGTAGTAGTAGTAGTAATAGTAGTAGTAGTAGTAATAGTAGTAGTAATAGTAGTAGTAGCAGTAGTAGTATTTGAAGTGTGTAAAAGTCTCCCTCTAGTGACAGTAACATGTAATTACAGCTCAGAGCAGAAATTTTTCAAACATTAAACTTTATTTTATTTAAGTTTGAAAAAATGACTAAAAACAAAGTTTATTATGAACAAAGTGCAGCAGA